AATTTCTTCAGGAGAATTTTTGTCCGGGCCAATAAGAGAACAGAACGTCAATTTTCTGCGCAGTGTCTGCTTGTAATTTATTTTACCTGGGCCAATCAGCAAACAGAAGGCAGAGTTTTGAAAGATGTCGATTTTTTGCGCAGTGTCTGCTAGTTAGTTTAGCACACGGCAGTGGAGGAAGAGAATGAAGCCAGTCAATGTTGATAAGGCTTCCAAATTAAAATAAATTTGTCTGACAAAGCAGCAGCTCTCATTTACAGCCGTCTCGTTCAGCTCGGTATATTTCTCGTCTCAGTGGGGTTGTTTACAACACATGCGATTTCCGGTTAGCTTCTTAGCTTAGCCTCRTGCACAGTGACATACAGCCAACCGATCCAATCATTTTAAACTTCAGCAGAGGCCACGCCTCCAGCAAGAATCACTTCTCTATAGCCGAGAGTCCAGACCCTCGTACGAAACAAAGTGAAAGACAAGAGTCTGGTTTTTACCAGGCCTTATTCACACAGTCTCCTCTTAAGTTGCTCTAGAGATGTGTCTGCTGCTAGACCTCTGTGTGGCATTGACCTGTTCTCTAATCTGAGCTACTGTTAATCTGCCATTTCTGAGGCTGGTGACTCGGATGAACTTATCGTCCACAGCAGAGGTGACTCTTGGTCTTCATTTCCTGGGGTGGTCCTCATATGAGCCAGTTTCTTTGCAGCGCTTGATGGTTTTTGCGACTTGGGGACACTTTCAAAGTTTTCCAATTTTTTGGACTGACTGACCTTAATTTCTTAAAGTAATGATGGACACTCATTTTTCTTTACTTAGCTGCTTTTTTCTTGCCATAATACAAATTCTAACAGTCTATAGGACTATCAGCTGTGTACTGTATCCACCTTCTGCACAACACAACTGATGGTCCCAACCCCATTTATAAGGTAAGTAATCCCACTTATTAAACTAGACAGGGCACACCTGTGAAGTGAAAACCATTTCAGGTGACTACCTCTTGATGCTCATCAAGAAAATGCCAATATTGTGCAAAGCAGTAATCAAGGCAAAAGGTGGCTGCTTTGAAGAACCTAGAATATAAGATATATTTTCAATTATTTCACATTTTTTCATCATCATCATCATCATCATCGTCATCGTCATCGTCATCATCATCGTCATCGTCATCATCATCATCATCGTCATCATCTAGCACATTTAAAAACAACAGTGTTAACCAAAGTGCTTCACAGACAAAATAAAATAAAACAAATAAGCCAAAAACAAATAAAAATACACAAATTACAAATTCCTGAGGTAGCTCAAACTGAACTTGAGTTAAAAGCCAGTGTAAAAACTTGAGTTTTTAAGCAAGATTTAAAAGACTGAACAGACTCTGCAGTACAGATTTCAAGAGGCAATTTGTTCCAGAGTCTGGGGGCCGCCACAGCAAAAGCTTGTTCCCCTCTACGCTTTAGTTTTACCTTTGGCTGCACTAAAGGCTTCTGATCAGAGGATCTAAGTTCTCTGTGTGGTGTATAAAAGTGCAACAGGGCCAATAAATAACTGGGTGCCAGACCATTTAAAACTTTAAACGTAAGTAAAAGAATCTTAAAATCAATACAAAAGTGAACAGGCAGCCAGTGCAAGTCAGATAAAACAGGAGTGATGTGGTTCTTCCTTCTAGAAAGCATTAAAAGATGTGCAGCAGCGTTCTGGACTAACTGCAAGTGATGGAGAGATGATTGTTCCAAACCAGCAAAGAGTTGCAATAGTCCAGTCCAGATGTAATAAAAGCATGGATAAGAGTTTCGAGGTCTTTGTGGGGAATATCAGATTTTGCTTTGGTAATTAGACGAAGCTGATAAAAACTGGTTTTAACAACTGAATATGTTGTTTCTCAAATTTAAAAGCGCTGTCTAAAAGCACTCCAAGATCCTTGTCCACAGTTGAGCAATAAAGAGCAAGTGGGCCATGAATTCCAAGAGGAGAGCAATTACCAAACAAAATGACTTCAGTTTTGTCTTCTTTCAAAGTCAGAGACAATTCTGGGATAACCAGTCTTTGACGTCCTGGAGACAATTTAAAAGGGGCTGTAAAGGGGCAGAGACATCTGAATCAAAAGGATAATAAACTTGAATGTCATCAGCGTAAAAATGGAAAGATATATTGTGCTTTTAAAAAATTGATCCCAATGGAAGCACGTACAAGCAAAAAGAATAGGTCCCAAAATAGAACCTTGAGGTACACCACAGCAAATAGGAGTTGAAGAAGAAGAATATTCCCCCATAGAAATGGAAAAAGACCTGTCTGCCAAATATGACTTGAACCATGTTAAAACTGAGCCTTTAAGACCAAKAACATGTTCAAGCCTGGATAAAAGGATGCTGTGATCAACTGTATCAAAGGCAGCAGTTAAATCTAAAAGAACTAAAACAGAACTACCTGAATCAACAGTTCAAAGAAGATTGTCAAACCCTTTTTTGTTAAGTATATAATTCCACAGTTTTGATGCCTTCAGTGTGAACCTACAATTTTCATGGTCATGAAAATAAAATAAAAAAAACTCTGAATGAAAACGGTGTGTCCAAACATCATCATTGTGTGAATGTGAGTGTGAATGGGTGAATGTCTGTAAGTGTAAAGCACTTTGGGGTACGGAGGGACTTGATAAAGTGCTCTATAAGTTAAGTCCATTTACAATTTACCTTTTGGAATGTAATATATATACAGTATATATATAAACAAAAGTTCTGTGATGTGGGGTTGCTGCAGGTGGTCAGGTCTAGGTTTAGCAACAGTATGTGCTCAAAGAATGAGGTCAGCTGACCTGAATAAACTGAATGACCAGGTTATTCCATCAATGGATTGTTTCTTCCCTGATGGTATGGACATATTCCAGGATGACAATGCCAGAATTCATCAGGCTGGAATTGTGAAAGAGTGGTTCAGGGAGCATGAGACATCATTTTCACACATGGATTGGCTCCACAGAGTCCACTGAGAATCTTTGGGATGTGCTGGAGAAGGCTTTGTGCAGTGGTCAGACTCTACCATCATCAATTCAAGATCTTGGTGAAAAATGAATGCAACACTGGATGGAAATAAATCTTGTGACATTGCAGAAGCTTATTGAAACAGGCATGTATCAGCATTTTAAGTTCCTGTATTGATCCTGTGCCAGAGGACAGCAGGATATTTACCGAATTTATAACATGTTGGTGTTGATTCTTGGTCATCCTTGTTCATGACAAAACTATGAGTTTAACTAGGAGCAACTTGACTTCATTTCTTCTACTAAAAGAACAAGCTGAGTAGGTCCTCTGGACGAGGTCTTTGTTGAAAAAACATGATGACTTCTTCCATCTGAGGAGTTACAGGTAAACAGCTTTATAAGCAGTACTCCAACATGCAAGTTTAACGAAGACAATCAAAACTGTTTTGTTCACATGCAAAATAAGACAAACATAAATTAAAGTACATATAGTATATTCCCTGGTAGGCCTTCATGTTTATCTGTGAACATCATACTCTGACGATCGTTAGACAGATGGTCCTCTTTAGCATGTGAACAACCAGTTTTGATTGTCATCATTAACTTGTTTGTCCACCATATGGAAGTACTGCTTATAAACTGAGATTACCTGCAACTCCGCAGACTGAAGAAATGTGTTGGAGAAGAGTCTAAACATTTTTTCAACAAAGAACTCGTCCAGAAACCCTACTCAATGTTTTTTTGTTTTGTTTTTTTCTACCTGGATTATTGAGATGCATCAGGACTTTGTTTCTTGTTTCACCTCTTACCTGAAGTCTCCTCCAGGTCTAGTTGGAGGTTCCAGCTTGTTGGAACAATGGCACTAATAGGATTGTTAATCGCAGACAAACCTGTCCCTCCTGTGAGTCATTAGGGTTGTTGTCACTTGGGCGTCTCTTATCAACAAGTGAAGAGTTTCAGTCAGGTGTTTCAAGGAGGGAATGATTGGGAAACAGTAGGGGTGGATGAGTGAACTCTGAGACCCTCACCCACAGAATAATGTAGTTTTGTTTTATTTAACATACAGAACCATCACTCTTCATAAAGTTCATGTAACTCCACTCTTTTATCTTTGAGGTTTACAGATGAGTTTTTACCTGAGCAGCTGTCTCTCCTGTGTTGTCCTATGTGGAGAGATTATTTAGTTTCCCCCTATATTAAGGTCTAAACATTTGTGTTAATCTGAATTTGGCTCAACTTGTATTTGGGTGTTTTATATGTAGAGAAAACCAGTTTTTGTCTGTTTGAATCCTTCAGAGATTCTTAGATACTCTTTCAAGTTTTATGCAAGTTTCATTTAGGGACACTGCAAAGTTAGAAAGTTAATTTCATATCCAACTTCTTTTTTATGCCATACTCTTAGTCAAACTAAAGATAGACCTCACATTATAAAATGTTTGCTTGCAACAGTACCAAMATTAGGTGAAATGGTTTATTCTTAAACTTTGCTCGTTGTTTAGACACGCTGACAAACTTTAAAAAATTGCAAAACTATTTTAACAACTGCTGAAGTGTTTTTCCCTAATTGTGAATCATTTTTAAATCATCCGATCCAGCCTCCACGCTGCGTGCGGCATCTGTCTCTGCATTTCAACAGTTTGGTTAATAATTCCCGGAGAATTTCTGCAGCCAAGTTTTTGTTTTTGTGTAGGAGTTTGTGGATAATAAACCACGGACTCGCTCYTTTGTTCTTATGCATTTACATTTAACAAAAACCCAACTAGATGCTTGTTTATTAGCCGTGTAAACACAAGTACGAKGTGTACAAAAGGTGATGGATGAAATCCAAACAGCTCATTCTTTAAGAGCAGTTGCACAATATTTACACTGTTGCAGGCAGAGCTGCAGCTTGTAATTAGCATTTTGATTCAGTGAGCGAAACTCCTGGTGAACTCTGCAGAGTTGAACATCATGTTCCAGTTTGCTGGCATGCCATGTGTTAAAGTGTACAGCTTATACRCATGTTATAAATAAAATAAACTGAAGGCATATCTTATTTTGTTTTTTTTATTATTATTTGGAAAAACAAATACAAAACTTTGGCATGTTTCATAATCAAGTTGGATTTATATAAAAATACATTTTTTTAGTTATCATCTGCAGTGTGCCGTTCATTGCACACCTGACCCTGAACAGAGGTTTATATTTTTTGTTTTTTTTGTTTTTTTTTTGGAAGGCGAGGAGAGAACACGATCCTCGAGTCAGTATTAGGAATGTTCTTCGTTCGTACATTTCAGTGGCATCTCCAGCTTAAGGCACGACCTCGCAGCTCTTAAAGGTTTCCAGCCCGTACGTCTCAGCAGTCTCTGTTTTCATTTTTTATTTGGTAGCTGGTAGAGCACTTCTGTGTAGCCAACTGCATCATCTTGTTTGCTATAAATCTAATACCACAGCTTTTTTGTGTTTCAGTGCTGAGCTTTTGCATTTACACAACGCTGCTCTTTAAGTTCAACCACTTACAAAGCCAGTTTTTTGTTTTTGTTTTGTTTTTGTTCCAACAGCTCTCAATACATTCAGCTTTGTGAGCGAACTCCCTAAAACTCTCATGCAATCTTCAACTGCAGATTAAGGCGTAACTTTACTTCCCTTTTGCATAATGTTACCTACATGCATAAACTACATTTAGCTCTTATTTACCTCATCTGCTTCAACGTCACATCTTTACAGTATGTGCTTAACAGTATATTATGTGAGAGGCACTCTGCTGCCGAGTCACACAATGCATAGTAAAGTAGGTATTTACCATCTACCCTGATGCCAGGCAAGTTAGATAATAATTGCACTTTTCACTTTGCGCCATTCAAAGATGACAGTGGGCATGTCAACTTATCAAAAGCGCTCACTCTCTGCCTGATAAATATCAAGTGATATTACCCCCCTAACATGTCCCAAACTCTTTAAAAAAACTCTTTAAAATTCAAAAAGTCTCTTCACTTGAGGGAATCGTTGATTGGGAGGCCTTTCATCGCTCTCTTGTCCTGAGAGCAAAAATAATAATAATTCACTTGGGAAGGACAGGAACCGACGCAGAGAAGTAGCTTCCCTCTCAGCAGAACCCCCCCAGGAAAACGTCTACTGTTCTGGACGGGGAAACGAAACTTCAGCTCGTCTGCGAATGCTCAGTTCCTGTGAGCTCCGTCTTCTGGCCTCGCTGTGACGCTCCAGTCCGTCCACACGACTCGGGCTGGGACCTGGCGCTCGTTCACCAGAGAGGAATAATCCAGGAGGAGACAAATCCCGCGGTTTGTTTCAGTAATCACGCTGCTCGTRGCTCAGGCAGGGCTCGTGGTTCAACAAGTCATGCAGCGAGGTCTTATGTTGAAGGGCTGAGGGTTGGGGTCAATCTGTAGGCAGAAACAACAAAACAAAGAAAAAAGGTTAAATAAGCAGATAATCCCAGCAACACTCTCAGCTACGTTTAGACATTTACTGACGCGACTCACCTCGCAGTACACCGGTGGAGGTCGGAAACGAAACTCTTGAACGAAAGCCATAAGGGGTCGCTCCATGATCCCGCTCAGGTCATCAGCCGGCTGCGGGACTACCGCGTTGTTGCGCTGCTCTGCCTCCTCCTCCGTCACCACAGAACTGTAATCCGGAGGAGCTGCGGAGAAACGAGGCAGGACTTTTACTCCACCGGCCCGAAAAGACGGCAGTTTAGGATTTCGTTCTCCGTCGGTTACGAGAGGGGACACTTACGCTCGGGCTGCTCGGGGATGGCCATGCGCAGCCACTCCAGGTTGACGCTGTACTGGCTGCTGATGCTGGACGTCCGGCTGCCGAAGGGATGGAGGGGGATGGTGCCGATGACGAGGGGCAGCTCCAAACAAAGCTTAGATGTCCCGGGAACATCCACGCAAACCTTTTCAGGAGGGAAACAAGAGTTAGATCTGCAATCGGCACGCGTTAATAAAATAAATCCAACTGAAGCTGCTGCGGCCTGAGCTCACCTTCAGCATGTACTCCACTTTGATGATGCGACACTGCAGGATGGACGGACCCACGGGGGGGATCTTGATGGCGCGGCCGTGCCAGGTCTCACGGCTCCTCGCGCCCACGACGTCCCCGCAGAGGGTGGCCACCACCGAGCGCTTCTGCTTCATGGTGCCTCGGGCGACGAACGTCTGCGTCTGCGTGATGAAGGCTTTGGGCACGATCGKTCGGGACGTGGAGTTGTCAAACTCCGCAAACACGGGGATCACCTCGCCTGCAGCGAGACGAAACACGGTGATGCTCGCGGGCGCTTTAACGGACACGCAAACACCGTGTGTACGGGTGCTTCAAGGGCCGGAGGCTTACCTGGTGTGTAGCCTTTGCGGTCGATCTTTGCGGTTACAGAAACCTGGCCAAAGTTGCGGTACCACGCCCGTGCCATTTTATCCTTTGTACCGGCCTGTGGTGCCTAAAAGGTTATAAGAACAAATTAGCACACGCTTAAAACCCTTTAAAAATAACAGTGTGAGTCATCAGCAACATTTAAGACGAGGGAGGAGATGCTCACCAGAAGAGCCGGTGTGTTGATGTCGATGGGCTCGATAACTGTAAACTCCCTCTTGATTTTCTTGACGCTGTACCACGGCCTGTGAAGCTTGACTTTGACCCAGTAACGAACGCTGCCATGTTTCCCCTCGAAGGACGTGACCAGAGTCTCCTCTGGAAGCTGGAAGCTGAACGGAAACTCGTGTCTTCCCGCAGGAAGGACAGTCACTTCACCGTTATCTGAGAAGAGACAAGAAAAGGGAAAAAAAAAACATTTTAAGTCATGTCTTTAATTTAGTTAAACTTATTATACAGCTTGCACTAAAGTTCAGAGAGGGCAAAGTAAATTCCTAGACACTCGTCTATTTATGTTGGTGTCACATGGTTCGCATAAGCGAAAGGTTTTATTGCACACAAATAAAGCAATCAATCCTGCACCGTGACTCATATAATCACACAAAGCAGCAAGTTTCAACACACAACTGAAAACACCGCGGCAGAAATTTGGCAAGTTAGTTTTRGATAAATCAAACTTTAGTGACTTGGTTAAACTCTGGCGTAAATCTTAAGTTTTTCTCCCAGGAATCAGTTGGTTTCTGTTTTTGCTCCTCCTTTTGTGCTGAGAACGTGTTTTCCTCCAGCTAGAACATGCAGCCAGTTTCAGGTCTGACAGCACGTGGTTGTGTTTAGCAGACTGTTTTTGTATTTCAACCTGGATTTTTTTTTTTCACTTTATTCTCACTAATAAGTGAACCAGATTTGCAAGTCGTGAAAACTTTTAGTGGATTTTTGCAAATAATAAAAAAAATCTTGAGCATCAAGAGCTTTCGGTCTGTAATTTAAACCAAAACCTTTTGTGTTGAATGAATAAAGACAGAAACTTGAAGCTGCTGGCCCACACTGCAGATTAGAAAAACATAGGATCTGCTTATGAGGATGGGGCTGATGTCAGTCCCGTTTGCTTCAACAGATGTTTCCACAATGAGACAGCTGTTTGCACCGGCTCCAACTGGAAKTAAAACTTGTCAGCTCTTACACATCATTGACTGCTGTGTGCATTTTCTGACCCTAAAGCGAAGCAGTAAGTTATTTTTCAATGCAACATWAAAAATAACACAAATTTGACTTTAGTTTCATTCATGATTTAAACAGCTGCTTGCAGATTTTGGAGGAAAAGTAAAGCTTTTGTCATAAGGACTGTTCTAATCGTTTGTTTACCTCTGACACTAAAATCCTTTTTGTTGACAATAATGTCAGAGTTCCAGAAAATAAAAAATAAACTGTCATTATAARGAGAGGATTTTGCATCTAACTTGCYCCCATCACCGCCACCGAGCCTCTGCAGCGGACTGACCTGCCTGCAGCAGCACCTCTCTGCGGTTCAGGTACTCCACTTCGTCGCTGTAGTTCTGGGTGTACGCCGTGCTGGAGCCCGCCGACCGGGACTCGGTCCAGTGCACTTTGGCGAAACCCTCGGCGTGAAGCTTCAGGGAGTCCACCTTGCACTCCCCGGACAGCTCCACCACCACGCGCCCGGACACCACGTCCCCGCTGCTGTACACCGGGGGACAGTCGATCTCCGGGGAGTCGAAGACGAAGTCAAACTTTTTCAACTTGTCGAAAATCATCGTGGCGGGTTGTGCGGATGTTCCAAAGAGGAAAAACTGAGGTGGGTTTCTTTTCCTTTGGTTTAGCGATGTCTTTCAATGGGCTAGCGTGAACCTGTAGGCTGCTAGGCTGTTAGCCTCTCGTGCAAACAGCTTGAACTATGAGGTACAGAGAGACGGCAGCCCTATTTGGAGGCTGAGACGGTGGGCGGGGCTTCAGAAATATTATGTAAGGCCTCAGGAGACGACTGGAGGCAGGCCGACGCGTTCAGGAACGCTTTCTTGGCTCGGAAATTTCAGAATGCAACTTGTAAATACGCCAAAAARACATCGCTTAAGTTTTCGGAAGTAAAATCTAAAGTTACAATTTATTTTAGGAATTACAAAAATTAATACTCTAAATGTAACACAGCGAAAAGTACTTTAAGATTAATGTTTGATTAAAAATAGAGGTGTATATCGTTGAATTATGATTTACTCCACAACATTTAACTTTTTTTTTTTGTAGTTTTACAAGTTGACACGGCTACTATAAAACATGTCTGGTCTACTGCTAAAATCGCAACGTTTTACACGTTAACTGCAGCTGCTGGGAAACAAAATAAATAAAACAAAAGTGCGTCCCATGCGACGCTATTCTGCTCACGTTCCACATGGCCGGAGCGAGCTTGAACGCAGCAATAAATATGCAGCCAGGGTGTGGAGGCTGAAGAGGAAAACAGGGTGATGATTGATGGTTACAGGTTCTTAGAAGCAAACAGGCTTACTGAGCATGCTTCAGTCTGACAGAGCTCAGGGGAAAATTGTTTCATTCTGGGCCATAGTTGTTTACTTCAACAGCGTTCCTGTTTTTTTGAACATTTTGTAACACAAGTTTGGGACACCCCACAAGTGAAAAAAAAAACAAAAAAAAAACACACACACTCATATATAACTTTTTTCCTCAACCATTCAAGTAAACTACATGTTATAAAGGACATTTGTAAAAATGTAGTTTTTGTCTTTTGCATCATTTCATCCTTCAGACTTACTTTAAATGCTTTAAAACATGTCCACACAAAGACAACCTCAGAGAAAAAATATCCAAAACTTAATTCTGCTACACAGAAAACTAATTCAAAAGAGTTAATACTCTCTTGTTCCACTGAAAACGTCTTCAGACTGAAATCAAGTCTGCTCTGTGAAAAACACGCTTGTTTACGTCTTTGTTCCTTTGGATAGGAGCTCACTGGTGCCACCTAGTGGACACGTTGTCGCAGAACTTTGCAACACAATCGTGATGTTTTTGAATCCTGCACTGGGTCAGAAATATACAACAAGATCATCAATGTGTCCAAAAGATTTGTGCAACATCTAAGAACCAAACATTGTTAGKTCTATGATTCAGCTTTATAAAATTCAGGATTTTAAGAGTTTCCGGTTGTGTATGTTTTCCAGTCTTGTCTTTAAACTCAAGTTCCGAGTCAAAACAAAAATATTTCAAGGACTCGCAACACCATCTGCTGGTGACGGTGGAGCAGGAGATGAGCCCTACCAGAGCAGCCTGGCAAAACACTGATAAGAACCGGTTAACCTCCCCTCACTGTGCAGACGTTTCTATGTTTACCCTGATGTTTGTGCAGAGAAAATTAGATTAATTTATTCATGCGGACTCCTGGTTTAACCAAACAGCTGCTGAGTCCACAGTGTTGTGTTACAAACATTAACATTAACACATGGAGCTAAAACTAAAAGACAAAAGTGTTAATTTTCTAAATGCAATTCTAGTCAGGATTTTGGAGAAAATCAAGCTAATTTTTTAGGTAATAACTTGTTTGAAGTCCAAACTTTATGTAAATTTTTAAGAAAATTGATGATTTACTGAAAAGTACTTTTTTTTGCCATTAAATAAAGGACAAAAAAGAGAAAATAAAACTTGCTGGACAAAGGCAGAGCACTGCAGAATGAGTGACAGCAGCAGCAGCTGTCTGTATGGTGAAAGGGGCGGGGCAAAGGCAGAGCCACGTGCTTTTCCTGTTGCCGTGGTGACGGAGGCTGCTATTTTTTAAATGTGCTCACACTTCCTCTTCCTCCCCCCTTCCTTCCTACCTCACCTACAACTTTCTCCATTTTTTTTCTCCCCAGCTTTTTAAAATTTGTATTATTTCACATTTCTGCTTAAATAATTTAAAAAGTGATAATATATATTTTTTTAATGTTCATTAGTTAATTTAAAGAAATAGCTGCAAATCATATTTTACTGTAATCACAACAAAATGTGCTCACAGAGGATTAAAATTTACTTTAAACCTTTATTTCTAACAATAAATCACTTTTTATGCTCTATATCTTCTATATTGTGACACAAACTAATTATGTGCTTTTATTTCTAAAGGACAAGAAGAAAAACTTGGTTTGCCTCTGAGATTTRGGGTTTTGTTTCATTTTCATACTGAGTCATTTTCTGTGCAAAGCAGCCTTTTCACCACTGACGACACATACAGTTTGTTCATTTTTATAACGTCCATTCATTTTAAACGAGAGAGCATCAAAATATTTTGTTAGTTCACATGTAGGGAATCCTTTTCTGAATAAAAGGTTAATTCTTTTAAATCTTTGGTTAAAAAAACGTTTGCATGTTTGGCATCTAATATCATTTTAACATGTTTAGGGGGGAAAAAATCTGTAGTTTTAGTAAAACAAGAAGTCAACCTAACTAAAAAATAAAACATCTAATGAAAGTGTCTCTACAGTGTATTTACTCAGCTACTATTTTTAAATTCATTTTATTTCATTTAAAAACAAAACAAAATTTACATACAATAAAAACAAATCAAAAATAAAATGAAAGGCAGCAGAAAAAAGAAAAAAATTGCTATAATATCTGCCCCTTTTAGGAAAAGAAGATAACATAAACAAAATGTCCTTTGAGTAGAGCTGCCACAAACGATTATTTTTATAATCGATTAATCATCGATTATTTTTTCGATTAGCTGACTAATCGGATCATACGTTAATTGAATATAAAACATATGGCTTATCGCACCAGAATGCAGCTGCTATTATATAACCATGGTTAGATTTTAGCTATATGCTAACTAAAAATAATTGCTGTGGAAGGCAGGTTCTGCTCTGCAGATATTGCACAGGTTTCTCTTTCATTTTCTTAAAATGATCCCACACTTTGAGCTCTGTTGTCAGGTAGCCATGATACCAGAGCCTGTCTGTATAATGTCTTGTGACGTCCACGGCCTACCCCAGTTACCACTACTGTGCATGTGTGTCAAGGACAGAAAGGCAGATGTGGCAGTGGAAGGTGTCAAAGCAGTTTGGAGAGAAAAACAAAGTAAAGAACAAAAAAAAAAGATTAATCGATTATTAAATTAGTCATCGATTATTTTAATAATCGATTAGTCGTCGATTAATCGACTAATCGTGGCAGCCCTACCTTTGAGTAACAAAAACAAAACAAAACAAAAACAACAACAATCCTCCTCAAACAAAAAATTGTATGAGTACATATTCGTCTTTTTCATATTTCTTCAACAAACCTATTTTAATCATTCTCTTACACATAAACATTGCTCCGGCATTTTTAACAGCTCTTCCCAGATTATTCCATAATCTTATTCCCTGGATTGGCGTACATCATTCCTTAAAACTGGTTCGAATTTTAAGTTTCACAAACATCTCAATCCCCTTAAGATTTTAATGGCTCTCTCTTTTAACAAAATTTGACTGGATATTTACAGGTAAAATGTTTTTATGAGTCCTATACATAACCTGTAAAATATTATAGTCAACCAACTCATGAAATTTCAGTAATTTCAACTGACAAAACAATATATTTGTTGGGTGACTATAAAGTGTTCTGGTTATAATTCTTACAGCTCTTTTCTGTAAAAGGAAAATGGGATTTGAGAGAGAGATTGTAGTCATCTAATGAAACATTAACCAGTGTCTACAGTTTATTTACTCAGCTACTATTGTCTACAATGTCTGTCTCTCTCTGATCTGAAGACCCCTGACTTGGGAAATTTCACTCTCTCAGTGTACATTTGGACTCTGCACTAATGGATTTGTGTTTAATGTCAAAGATTATGTTATTCGGCAGAAATAGCTGGCCTCTCTCCCAGGTTTCCTCGCAACACGTTTGGCTCGAGTGAGTTCATTAGGACGACGCTACGAAACACTGTGGCTCCCACAACGATCGGCAATTTCACCACAAAGCTACACAATCTGAGAARTGCACATTTCAGCCGTAACGACACGTGCAGGTTTACTGACCTCGGATCAGGTGCTGTCTCTTCCTGAAGTAGGTGATCCTGGAGGTGTAGTCGTTGTAGACGGAGTTCATGCTGCGGTTCTCCAGCCAGTGTGCTGTGGCCACCCCTCGGCCCTGCACCTTCATGGAGAGCACCCGGGTGTCCCTGCGGAGCTCCAGGACCACCTGGCCCAGGACCACCTCTCCCAGCGTGAACGCTGAGTCGGCAGGATTGTCCAGCTCCAGGCTGAAGGACTTAATGGAGCTCAGTGACATTCCTTCAGGCCGGGAAATAAAACAGGAATGATAATATTAATGCACACATTTTGAAATAAACTCACAAAAGTTAACTACAGGGTTACAATGAAGCAGGAGAGTATTTTAGCAGCATTGTCAAATATAAGAAAAAAATTAATGCTGAATGTGCACAAGCTGCAGTGAACATATTGATAAGTGTTCTTATCTTTTAGAGCTTTATTTAAAAAAAAGAGGCCTGGGTGGATCCAGTTTATATCTGCTGCTGTACAGATAGTTAACAGGCTTTATAAAGAGTTCATAATAAAATTGTTTTTAATTTACCTCTCGCTGTGTTTCTTTTTTTAAACAAATTCCCACCTAGTTTAATTAAATCAATTTAATTTAACATTAATCCTGAATATTGGCCTTAATAACAACAACAGTAACACTCTTCTTCGTCTGATATTATAATTTTCTTCTCCGTTAGTTTAATTATTAGAGTAAAAACAGCCAAAGGTCGCGCCTCGGCCAATCAGGACAGAGCTTTAATAATTCTGACGAATGAAAAGTCTCTAAACTCACCGACAGGACGAAAAGGCTGCGTGCTGGAGCTCACGAGGACGGCTGCTTTCAGCAGAGAAACACGCGACTTCCTGCTCCTCTTTCTAACCGAAATTCTGCTCAATGGAAGCTGGGTCTTTATAAAACCCTTCTTAGGGCTGTGGCTACACCACTCCGTTGTACACCAATGACAAAGAGCGCGTCCTGGTCACGTCAGACACGCTGGAGGAGGAGAAGAAGGAGGAGACCCGCGCGAGGAGGGTGGGGGTGCTGACTCAAGGTCACGTGACGCAGCTTCTCAAGGGTTAAACCTTTACYCTCGTGCATCTTTGTTGAACCGTTTTTGTTTAGTTAAATAAATGAGTCAATYCCCGAGGAAGGTTATGTATCGGAGACTTTTACTTTCGTAAGCTGATTTCAGGCTTTTATTTTGAAATGTGTTCCCGGAGTCAGAGAAAAGAATTTTCTTGGATAAAACGATATTAATTGTTCTTAGTTTTTAATCATGAGCTTCAACACTACATAACATGATCAACATATAGGTTTATTTTTATATTATAAGAGACATTTTTGAATAAACAAACACATAAATAAATAAATAAATACTAAACAAATAAATAAATAAATAACTTCCCTGAATAACCCAACTCTAAAAGTACAATGCTGCATTGTAGTTCTTAAACAAGCTTTATTAATTCTGTGCATTCTGTCCATCTATCCATCCATCCAGCCAGCCAGCCAGCCATTCATCCACCATTCATCCATCCATCCATCCACCCACCATCCATCCATCTATCCATCCATCTATCCACCATCCATCCAGCCAGCCAGCCATTCATCCACCATCCATCCATCCATCCATCCACCCACCATCCATCCATCTATCCATCCATCTATCCACCATCCATCTATCCAGCCAGCCATTCATCCACCATCCATCCATCCATCCATCTATCCATCCATCTATCCACCATCCATCCAGCCAGCCAGCCATTCATCCACCA